GTTTTGCCCATACTTTGTCTCTTATTGTTTTGAATGTCTGTTCTTTATCTAATGTATTACTTCAAATGCTACTAATGAATTCTCGTGGATCAGTCTTTGGGAAACAAAGCTACTCTGATTGTATGCTACGTTGCAGAGACTGATGGGCTTGAAATCCTCCAACTCGTTTGGTTATTTGTCTTTTAGAATCAGTCATATGCTAGTCTTATTTAGTTCTTCATCTAGCACCCCTTGATGCAAGAAGCTTAGCACTTCCTACGTGACATCTTTTCCGTCCACATACTAGTAATTCTTATAGAATGAATCGTCCAATCCATTCGACCCTAGAGCTTTGTGAGGTGAATCTAAAAGATTGTGTGTACGACCTCATCCTTTATGTACCTTGTCTCCAATCCAGCCCTAAACTTATCTAGCAAAACTCACTTCTTTATAACACTTAGTGTATCTAATGTATACTAGTCCCATTGTGTTGCGAACAACTACTCAAAAGTAATTGCAAATTACCATTGTGACCTGCCTTGCGTTTGTCACATAGTTCCCTTGCTTGTTCTTTATTCCTGTTATAGTGTTCTTGACCTTCCTTCGAGAAGCCTTGTCATGAAAGAATGTTGCATTTCTATCCCCTTCCTTCAACCAGTCAATTCTAGTTCTCTATCTCTCCACATCGCCTTCTTCCTTGCATAGTTCATTATTCTACTTCTAAAGCTCTACTATCCTTCCACCCTCTTCCTAATCTCTGCTATCTTTCATTTTCTTTAGTTCGTTATGCAGATTTTCAAGTTGCTTCTAGACATACCTAAAGGACATTCATCGCCAGTCCATCAGCGCATCTCTTTATCCATTTACCTTGCAAACCAATTAACATTGAACCAAAGTTAGTTCTGCTCGTTCCTTCCATCCTTCCTTGATCACCATCTTGCAAATCCTCGTGCCTTCTTTACGTCTCCTCAAAATGAAACTATCTACTCCTTTTCATATTTGTGCACTTCTCCTACCTATTTTATATCATGATGGATAAATGATCAAATACTGTTGTCAACAACTGAGCTAGTAGGAACATCTATTTCCATTCCATGGAAAAAACGTCCTTATCTAGTTCTTGCTCTATGAGGGCTCCATCTGGCCTTCCTAAACCAAATGTACCGGGGCCCCTTGAAGGGCAGCTTTTGTAGTCTAACATCTTCCAAAGCTTACCTGAATGCCGTAATTGCCTTATATACCAATCTCATTCCACTTAAATGTGGTCATGAGCACAAGAATCACCTCAACCGATGGATACCATTGGCCAGTAATTAGTCTGCTCCCACTTAAATGTGGCCACGAGCAAAAGATCCACCTCAAATGATGGAAACCACTAGTTATGATAGTCAGCGTGGACCTACATTCGTAAGAGGTGACTGTTTTGGTATCCAATTGAAATGATCCAAGTTAGAGCCCACCACCGATTTAACAACTTTTCGAGTCAAGGTCAATAGGTCCTCAAAAGCTGAAACTCAAGTTATTAAGTAGTTAGACTCTACATTTATATATCAAACTTATTCACAACTCTCACTAATGTGAGATTCACTGCATTAAAATTCATAATTTCATTATTATAAGCAATTGTGCACATCCAAGACAAAGACGACGGAAATTTTAAGTCCACTAAGTAAATCCCACAGCTCCTCCCCCGTATGTGCCCAAAAACCTCTACCTCTTCCCCCATTGTCCTCCACCTTCACATCAATGTGGTTCATCGAGAGGGCTAGGAATTTGACTTTCACAGCATAAAACTACGTTCGAGCTAAGCGCTCTCCATCCCCTTCTGCGTGTAAACATGACATTCCTTCACATTCTAGCTTTTTTTCTCTTATACCTTCCATCACGTTCGCCGAGCTCTTTGTCTCCAAGAGGAAGATTAACTCTGGTTTTTGCCACCTGATGAAGAGATTCAGCTCGGCCAGTTACCTAGAGAGCACAACATCAGCATCGTGGAGCCACATAGGTGAAAGCTTGCTACATGTGATGAAAACGCCTAGCATTGTTCATTATGTCGGTGAAGATCACCCTGGAAATAATGCCTCCCTCAGTTATTGATATGGTGGCCAAAGTTGCATTAGGAATTCTAAGGAATCACCATGATAATCCACATTAGTGAATTTAGTATATTCATTGACGTTGTATACAAGGAAATTCACTGACGTAGTTTATACAAGGGAATATATTGATGTTGGAGTTCACATCAAAGTTTTTACATTAAATGCCTTTAATTATACGTCGATAAATAAACCTTCACCAATGTGGGAAGCATCGTTGTATAAAATATTTTGTACAGCGAACGTAATCATTGTTCCCATAAATCACCGATGTGTGCTACCTTTTCATCCTGAACAACAACGTGTGTGTTACATCCACATACTGATGAACAATTTTATGACATTATTTTAATATAAATTACTGACATGATTTACCTTGTTTTAATCGTCAGCAATGTAGAATAGAAAAAAAATATTTAATTAATGAAAGAAAAGAAGTTAAATTGTCACCAAATATCACTGACACAAATAGACATAAATATTCATGAAAATAAAATAAAGTTAAAATATTCTCCCACCACAATATAAATCTCATTTAATCTTACAATATACTCAACTCAACAATTCCAACAGATTTGACAGTAACATAGAACAACTCAACAAATTAATAAAAACAGTTTTAAAACGTAAAAAATCTTTATCTACCAATTGTTTTCCCTTCAAAGAATACAACGATTTCAACTAAAAAATTTTAAAAATACTAAAATTTGGCAATTATATACTGAAATTCATCATACCTTACAGAATAATTCATTTGATGTTTTTTAACCTACAAAATAGTTATGCATTTGTTAGTAAATGGCAA